CCCTAGCTTATGTTCAGTTTCTCCCTTTTCTCCCTTAGGTGGTTCTGACCATGCAATGATCTCTATAAATCTTTCTTCTCGTACTTCTTTTTTGGGCTAACCTTATCATCGCACCACCTACTACTACCCTAAAGCTGACTGGGATTCCTTTCGTGATTTTCTTCGTGATGATCCTTGGGCTGATGTTTTTTCTCTCTCAGCTGACAAATGCGCCTCCTACGTAACCTCCTGGATTCAGGCTGGAATGGAAGCTTTTATTCCTTCTCGTCGGTTTCAAGTCAAGCCTCATTCTACTCCATGGTTTTCTCCTTCTTGTGCGGCTGCTATATCCAATCGTAATCATTTTTTTCATCTTTTTCAAAAGAACAACTCTCTAGAGAACAAACGGCTATTTATTATTGCAAGAAATCGATGTAAAAAGGTGCTTTCTGATGCTAAACTCCATTATTCTCAGTTCACTAAATCTCGCATCTTATCGCAGAAGTTAGGCTCTAAAGACTTTTGGAAAATCTTCAACAGCATTGTTAACAAGGGTAGATCTAACATTCCATCTCTCATTCATGGGACTGATCTTATTACCTCTCCCAAGAATAAGGCAGAACTATTTGCAAAGAACTTTTCTTCTAATTCCACTCTTGAATCTTATGGACATTCTCTTCCTTCCATTCCAGTCAAACAGGTTGACCCATTGTTAGACATTCAAATCACTCCGGCTTCTGTTGCTAAAGTCATATCTCAATTAAACTCGTCTACAGCTTGTGGTCCAGACAACATTCCTGTCACAGTCTTGCAGAATCGTTCTCCAGAACTTTCTTCAATTCTCTCTAAACTATTTAACAAGTGTTTGACTGAGTCTTGTTTTCCTGCTTGTTGGAAAATGGCATCTGTGGTTCCAATATTCAAAAACTCTGGAGAAAATTCTGACCCCTCCAATTACCGTCCGATCAGTCTTCTTTCTGCTATTAGCAAGGTCTTTGAGTCTTTGATCAACAAATTCCTCACATCTCATCTTGAGTCAAATAAACTGCTGTCAGACAATCAATACGGTTTTCGATCCTCTCGCTCTACGGCCGACTTGCTAACTGCTGTAACTGAAAGATTTTATCGTGCATTAGATGGAGGTGGTGAGGCTAGGGCTATTGCTCTCGACATATCTAAAAAGTTTCGCATGCTGGTCTTCTCCATAAGCTTGCTTCATATGGTGTTTCTGGGAAAGTTTCTGAGATTATCAAATCATTTCTTTCTAACCGGTTTATTAAAGTCATCCTTGAAGGCCAACACTCTTCTTTATTTTCAGTAACTTCTGGGGTTCCCCAAGGTTCCATCCTGGGCCCTGTTTTGTTTCTTATCTACATAAACGATCTTCCTGACAACCTTTCATCTAAAGTAGCTCTTTTTGCTGATGACTCAACTTTATACTCCTGTCTTGACAAAAAGTCTTCTCTTTTCGATCGCCTAGAACAAGCAGCTGATCTTGAATCTGATCTCACTTCAGTAATAGATTGGGGTTCACAGTGGCTTGTGAATTTCAACTCTAAAAAAACCCAATTGCTTACTGCAAACAACTACCGTAATATGGTCAATATTCCTATATTAATGAATGGCAATCCTCTTACTGAGTCCTCCTCTTTACGTCTTCTTGGATTATCGCTTACTACTGACCTTTCATGGAAACCATATATACAATCGATTGCTAAATTAGCTTCTGCTAAGGTTGCTTCTCTTTATTGTGCTTGCCATTTCCTTACTTCTGATTCCATTTTCTACCTCTACAAATCTCTTATTCGTCCCTGTATGGAATACTGTTGTCATATTTGGGCTGGTTCTTCTAACGATTCACTTTCTCTTCTTGACAAGGTCCAAAAACGCATTGTAAATGTTGTTGGACCTGGACTATCTGCTAAGCTTGAACCTCTTTCCCATCGTCGTAAAGTTGCATCTCTTTCTCTTTTCTACAGATACTATCATGGTCACTGCTCAAAGGAGTTATCATCTCTAGTTCCATAAACTAAAATTCATTCTCGTTTTACTCGTCATTCAGCTAAGTCTCATTCGTTTACTGTATCTGTCCCTGCATGCTCTAAAAACTTTTATTCATCTAGTTTTTTTCCCCGCACTTCAATCCTTTGGAACTCTCTCCCATCTTCATGTTTTCCTGACTCATACAACCTTCAACTTTTCAAGTCTTCTGTCAACCGTTTCCTTGCTCTATAACTCTGTTCTTTTTTTTCCTAGTAACTCCCAACTTAATAGTGGTTGCTTGCAGCCTTGTTGGGAGTGAATGCAAATAAAAAAAAAAAAAAGGAAAATTGCAGTCAACTCGGTGACCTCCACAAAAGTATCAACAAACAAAGGTGCTAACATATGCAAGCAATTGCCTCGTGAAGGCATCCCAACTCCATGTCAATCAGCTGTTTACAAGACAACAATCAAAGAGGCAATCGAGCTAAAGGAAGAAATTATTTAAAAGTTGCATATGGAAAGTTGGTCCTTACACTTTGATGGCAAGCACATCGACAGAAAGGATTATCAAGTGGTCCTCCTTAAAAATGAAATAAGAGAAATTAAATTGGATGTCCTTGGCTTGGTAGATGGCAGGGCTTTAACTATTGCTTGAGGAATTCAAAAGTCCTTGATAAATTTCACTTATGGAATTCAATACAGATAATTGTTGCAGATACCACCAGCGTTAACACTGGAAAAAAGAATGGTGTTGTTGTAATATTGCAATGAATGTTCACAGAGAAACGCATCAACAAACCTCAGTTTATCAGTTGTCAACACCATGTATTAGATAGAATCCTCTGTTGGTGATGGATGAAGAACTTGGGAGTAAAACACATTCGCCAAACATCAAATATCCATTTGTTATCTCAACTGTTGAAGGAGTACGAACAACTGAAAATACAGTTTGATAACAGAACAGAAGTAATTATCAAAACATCAGGCTGGAGAGTTGATATGAAATTTTTGTTTTATCTCACTCGAGTGTTCCAATTTTTTGAGGATAAGGGACATTTTCCATTGATCAGGTTTCAGAAAATACCTAACATCAGCAATGCGAGGTGGAACTCTAAAGCTATATTAGCAATCCTGGTCTTCAGGATCACTAGTACAGCTCTGTCGATTTATATCATATGGCTGGGCAGAGCATTGGTGTACAGACCAACTGTACAACAAAATGACTTTAATAACTTGGCTGAAACACTGAATCCATACAAAAAGGCTTCAAGCTCTTTGAAAAATCACTGGAAGTGTTAACAAGTGTTAAAAGTTAATACTTTTTATAAATAAACTTGATTTTTAAAATAGCAATCTCCCAACATAAAATGTCTTACCACTCATTTGTCCACATTGTCTATATCAAATTAATGCTACAGCTGTTTAATCATTTAAAGTAAATTTCTTTCAGTTGGGTATCTTTTGTGATACCTAACTGCATTTTGTATTGCCCTAAAAAATGCAGGTGTTTATCTCTAGAAAGATTTGCAATACAAATACCCTAACCTACCACTTAAAAAGTAATAACAAAAAAATGCACTTTTATCAAAATGAAATTGTAAATAAGTGTAAATATACAAACTGTTGTAAATAAATGTAAATATACGAATTATTGACTTTTTGATTTGATTCAAAAAGTATTTTTTGATAACAAGAAACACTTGAGAATGATTTTCACAAACAACAACTCTAACATTAAAATTACATTCAGTTAAAAAATTTCTTCTTTAAACCATTCACTAAATTAAACCATTCATGATTTATTCAAATATGGAACATTTTTGTAAGTACATCTAATCAAAAATCAAACAAATGTCTTATATTATCTTCCTTCTAATTTTAAATGTATTACACAACTTAGAGATCAATATTTCTATTAATTTTTTTTATAGAAACATTATTGTTGGTAAAAGCAACTCTTCATGCAAAAGTTGATATAAGTTATACAGTATAACATTAGTGAATACTAAGGATGAGATAAATGCAACAACATTATTGCAAAAATATAATTAAAAGAATTGCAAAAATGCAAGAACTAAAAAAACTAAATTAATTGAATTTAAAAACTTGTTATTCGCTATTTTAAAGAACTGTGTTATTTTAAAGTTAAAGATTAAGACAAAGATTTAAAGTTAAAGAACTTGTTATTTTAAAGAACTTATAATTAGCATCAAAAAAACGCTTAAAATATTATTCAAAGATTAATGACATTGTTGCAACATAACTCAAAATAATTTGAAATGCAAAAAGATAAAGCGAATCGTTTTAACTTAAAACTTATTTTAACTTATAGAGCACATTATTGAAAATATTGATTCACACTATGATAATACGAATTATATTTTTCTGTTATTAAAAAAAATAATTTTTAATTACACAAATTTGACTGATTTATCACATCCTGTAAAATCTCCTAATTCATCTTTAAGATCAAAGGAATATTCAATTTAGATCAACGACATTTTTTGCTGAATGATTTGTTTAATAACTTTTTAGTTATTAATGAAAACAATATCTGATTAAAAGTAATATCTAATTCTTCACCAAACAATTTTAAAATTTATAAGAAAGATAATATCTTTCTTATATACTTTTTTTCAAAATGTTTGATGCAAATAACAGAAGAACTATAGGGTGTTTTTTTATGTATTTTTTTCAAAATATATATATAAAAACAATGTCTTTTATATACTTTTTTCAAAATGTTTGATGTTTATAACAGAAGAATTAAAGGCTTTTATATACCTTTTTCATTTACAAGTTTAAATAAGTTTTTTTTTAATTTTTCAAATTTCCAAAACAAAAGCACAACTGTATATACTTCACCAAATTCATTTAAACAATAATTCAAAAGTAACATTTGTTATTAAAATTTTTATTTATTTAAAAAACTAAAAGCTAAATATCCAGCTGTACAACTAAAGTAGGCCATGTTTTTGTGATTATTTTGTAGTTAAGACTATGCTATTCTCATTTTAAAAACTAAAAAATGAACTTACTTCTCTTTAAACTGTTCAATATGTACATTCATTTTACAGCATTTTGGATTTAAGTGTCTAGGAATCATTCGATGATTTTCTTCATAAAGGCTGAGTGCTTTAGCAGCAGTTAAAAGATTTTTGTGGATTCCTTTTTTGTTACTTAAACATTTTTTGTATGTCTAAATTCGATTTTGAAAATTAAAAAAAATAATAAAATTCAAAGAACTTGAAAAACAATGTTAATAATGCTTAAATTGAAGTTATCAGAATTTTTGTCAATCACAGCATTGCAAATGGTAAATAAAAATAACAAACAGTAAATAAAAATAACAAACAGTAAATAAAAATAACAAACAGTAAATAAAAATAACAAACAATAAATAAAAATAACAAACAGTAAATAAAAATAACAAACAATAAATAAAAATAACAAACAGTAAATAAAAATAACAAACAATAAATAAAATATCAAACAGTAAATAAAAATAACAAACAGTAAATAAAAATAACAAACATTAAATAAAAATAACAAACAAATAATTAGTAAATTAAAAAAATAAACACATTAAAAGTTGTAATGGTTACATTTGTATTGGTTGTAATGGTTACATTTGTATTTTATTTTTATTTATCTAGTGTAAGTATTTATAAACATTCCAAAGTTAATGTTATTAATCCATTAAAAATCTAAGCTAATATGAAATATAAATATAATGCTTGACATAAGCTTTGATAACAGAAAATATACTTTTACAACATTGAAAATATTTTTTTATAACATAGAAAACATTTAAATGTAAAAAATATCTATAACTTACAGCTTCTTCTTTGCCTTCTCCAATTAAAATAACAATTCTCCCATCTCTAACTCTCCCTGTTCTTCCCATACGTTGTACAAGACGAATGGGCGAGTTTGAAGCATCAAAACAAACTATCAAATCAACATCACCTATATCAAGACCTTCTTCTCCAACAGATGTTGAAACAATTGTATTATAACCACCATTTCGAAATTTTTGAAGAACCTATAAAAGAACACAAACTCTTTATTAACTTAAACAAATTACTTGAAAAATATTTAAAACAAATTAACATTATAATGTTGATAAAAGAAAGACTTTTAAAAAACTCATCCAGCATAGTGAAAAAGCTACTATACAAATATTTTCAGAAAAAGTCATGTTTCTATATGTGTCACGCTCATATTATTTTATGTATAGTATTTTAATAACTTGGGTCAGTTAAAAAATTCATAGAACTTCATCTTTAAAGATGCAATTAGACAGCAAATAATTAAATATCATCTTAAACTGTATTTAATACTTTATGTACTTGTTAAAAATTTTTGCATGGTATAAAAAAAAGTTATTAAAATTTTATTAGGCACAAAGTAAGATTTTTAAATATCAAGTGTTACGGAAACATTATTTAAATATTACATGAATGTTATTTAAAATGTTATGCAAATTGTACTTAAATTTTACTAAATTTTAATAAATCCAAGGTAATTGTATTTTGCTAGCTAAAGGAACCAATTAATAAAACTGTGCCTCTTGTACTATTTCTGCACCACTGTGTACTACTTCACCTCTCTGTACTATTTCACCCCTCTGAACTACTCCTTTATTCCTTTTTATATACTTTTTGGAGGTTGATAGATGCATCTTTAAATAATAGTTTAAACAAGTTTGTCTAGCGTTTATGTTAGGTACTTTACGCTTCATTTAATCTAAACATTTCACTCCATAAGTTTTATTGTAATATTTAATGTTTTACGCCTGAATAGTTTATTACCTTTGTAACACAAGCTGTGCTCTCTATTTTAGCACAAACCGTAACAATGGATTAGGATTGTTAATCTGTGGTAACCAAGTACAAAATATAGTACAGTTGTGAGCTATTCTATTTAAAAATGGTAGAGAGAACCCTAAGCGTGCCTATAAACCATGTATACAACTGAGAATATCAAAGAAAAAGGCATTATTGAAAAAGCCACTTATGCAGCATACAATATATTTGAAGCCCTGAGATTAATTAATCAATTAACAACCAATGAAATTATTCACAACATTCTTGGAAAAAAAAAATTAGCTACATTGAATAACATCAAAAATAGAGTTTCAACATAAAAGGAAAAACTTTCAAAAACAACTCATGCGTTGTTATTACAAGGTATTGTAGTTTCATTTTAGACAATTTAGACCCAAGTCTAGCTGGGTAGCAGAAAGTGAAAGTCTTGTAGTAGAGTAGCAGAAGGTGAAGGCCCTGCAAAGGTGAAGTCCTGGGCAGCTGAAGGTGAAAGTACTGTAATAAGTTACAAAAGGTTAAAATTTAAACATACTCTACATTTTATTCAAAACGATTGTTTTGTTTCAAAACCACCTGTTCTACTTTCCAGACTTAGCTATATTAAATTTTTGGCTTAATTAATTCTACTTAATAAAAATTTCTTGATAACAATACTGATATTGAAAGTTAGAAACACATATAACCAAATTATTTTAAAATATACACATATAAAAGTATAAAAAACACTGACAAATGATTGAAAAAAGTAACATTAGTCAATCACAGGTATCAAACATTTAATAAAACTAAATTAAAAAGAGTTTCTCTTTGCATTATTTTTATTAGAGTTTTTTTAACTAACCAGAGTATTTTATTTTTAGTAAAAAAAATTAGTAAAAAATGACATACACACATGTTTGTATGTCATTTATTTCATTGATTAGTTTTTTTTTTCATTACATTGACACCTCAAGCTCAAAAAACCACAAACTGACCGATCTTTGTTCCCAATCTTTGCAATTGATAACCCTGCTCCATGTCCTGCTGCCTTGTAGGATACGCTTTTTTAGGCAAAGGCTAGGAGAAGTTAACTCCGAATTAAAACACCCCCTGCCTTGGGGCTCTTGGTTGAGTAAAGGCTAGAGATGGTGTCTCGATAAAAATACTCATCTTGGGCAGATGTTACATGCATCCAGCTGCTGTCTTGTAGAAGGCCTCCTAGGCAAAGACTTAAGGGGTAAACAGATTCTATCTGTTGACCAGCCTCGCACCCCTTCCTCATCTATTAGGCTGGCGCAGATGTATTTTTAATACATTGTTTCCAGTTTAGGATGTTGAACGCTGGATCTTCTTGACTCAATACGTGGGTATTGCTCGTGTCTCTATTTTTATGACTGGGCAACTCATTCTATTATCTCCTAATGAGGGTACAGCTCTAAAACTCAGTTTTATGGTTCTGAGGCCGGCTGGTAGTCAGGTTTCCCGAACTCTGTGGTAGCTCTCAGAGAGGCTGATTCCATCAACAGCCGAAAAATATCAGAGTACTAACAGTGCCATGTTGCGCATGGATGGTGTCCCTGTTTGTACTTTTGGTGTGCATTGCAGAGGCCACATTTGGAGCCCTTTGTTACGGCTTTGTTAGGGTTTATTAATAGTAATGAGGCTATTGCTTAGTTGTTAAATAGTGTACTGAGTACTATCTATACTTGAGTCAAGTTCTTTATAAATTTAAAATGACTAAAGTACCTAAAACTAAAAAACACAAAAAACCATCGTCATCACCAAGTTCTCTAAACCTATCATTTACTAATATTCGTGGTCTTCGAAGTAACTTTTCTTCTGTTGAGTCTTATCTCTTGCAAAGTTCACCAGACCTACTTGCTCTTTGTGAGACTAATTTGAGTTCGGCTGTCCCATCTTGTATTCTTAGTGTTGATGGTTATCTTGCTTTAATTCGTAAAGACTCCAATAATCACATGCTTGGCCTGGGCATCTACATTTGTAAGAACTCACCCATTTGTCGTGAAACTAGGTTTGAATCTACAGACTATTCATTTATGTGCTTTCGTTTAGCACAACTTCACTCTATCGCCTTTCTCTTTGTTCTATATCGCTCTCCTTCATCCCAAGATTGCACTATTCTTGATGTTATTTCTGATCAAATTGACCAAGCCCTCTCTCTTTATCCATCGGCCAATATCGCCGTTGTTGGTGACTTTAATGCCCATCACACCGATTGGCTTGGCTCTAGTGTCAGTGACTCTGCTGGCGTTAAGGCCCTCAACTTTTGCCTTTCTCAATCTCTAACTCAAATAGTCAACTTTCCAACTCGTTTTCCAGACAACCCTAATCATTTACCTTCTCTACTCGACTTATGTCTTGTTTTGGATCCTAGTCAGTGCTCGATTTCTCCACATTCACCCTTAGGTACTTCTGATCACGGTTTGATCTCTCTAAAACTATTATCAAATTCTTCCACTTCATCAGAATCCCCCTATCATCGTACCACATACAACTACCTTAAAGCTGACTGGGACTCTTTCCATGATTTTCTTCGTGATGGCCCTTGGGTAGAAATCTTTCGTCTTCCTGCTGACAAATGTGCTTCTTACATAACTTCGTGGATTCAGGCTGGCATGGAATCTTTTATTCCCTCTCGACAATTCCAGGTCAAGCCTCATTCTTCTCCTTGGTTTTCCTCACATTGCGCTGCAGCAATTTCTAATCGAAACCGTTACTTCCATATCTATCAGCAAAACAATTCTCCAGAAAACAGACATCTGTTCACTATCGCCAGAAACCATTGTAAAAAGGTTTTGTCTGACGCCAAAGCTCGCTATTCCCAGGTCATTAAATCTCGTATCTCATCACAAAAATTAGGCTCTCGAGACTTCAGGAGAATCTTTAACAGTATCAATAATAAGGGCAAATCTGTTATTCCTTCTCTCTTGTATGGTTCAGACTTTGTCACCTCACCTAAAGACAAAGCTGAATTGTTTGCTAAGAACTTTTCATCAATATCATCTCTTGATTCCACTAGTTGCGTTTTACCTGACATAGCCGTCAAACAGGTTGATCCCTTGCTTGACATTCGCATCACTTCAGCTTCTGTATCAAAAGTAATTTCCTGCTTAGACTCTTCAACAGCTTGTGGTCCTGACAACATTCCTGTTGTAGTCTTGCAGAGGTGTTCTCCAGAGCTTTCATCCATACTTTCAAAACTATTTAACAAGTGCTTATCAGAGTCTTGTTTTCCATCATGCTGGAAAGCAGCATCTGTTATCCCTATTTTCAAAAATTCTGGAGAGCGATCTGATTCATCTAACTACCGTCCCATTAGTCTTCTTCCTGTCATAAGCAAGGTTTTTGAATCTTTAATCAACAAACACTTAATCTCTCATCTTGAATCAAATAACTTACTTTCTGATCATCAATATGGATTTCGGTCTTCTCGTTCTACAGCTGATGTGCTAACAGTAATAACCGATAGGTTTTACCGTGCATTAGATAGAGGTGGAGAGGTTAAGGCTATCGCACTTGACATTTCTAAAGCTTTTGATAAAGTTTGGCATGCTGGTCTTCTCCATAAGCTTTCTTCTTATGGTGTAGCTGGTAACATCTTTAAGATTATTGAGTCCTTTCTTTCCAATCGTAGTATAAAAGTTGTTCTCGATGGACAACACTCTTCTTCACATCCTGTAACTTCAGGGGTTCCTCAAGGTTCAATCCTTGGCCCTATACTCTTTTTAATTTACATTAACGATCTTCCAGATATTCTCACATCTAAGGTGGCATTATTCGCTGACGACACTACCATTTACTTTTGTCATGATAAGAAGCCTACACTCTCTGATTGCTTGGAGGGGGTATCTGAGCTTGAAAAGGATCTCACTTCTGCTACAGCATGGGGCTCACAGTGGCTGGTGAACTTTAATTCAGATAAAACTCAATTTTATTCGGCCAATCGTTATCGTAATAATTTAGATCTTCCTATATTTATGAATGGTAATGTACTAGATGAGTCATCTACCATTCATCTTCTAGGATTAACTCTTACTTCTGATCTTTCTTTTAAACCGTATATCAAATCCATTGCAAAATTAGCATCTGCTAAGGTTGCATCTCTTTATCGAGCTCGACACTTTCTTACTCCAGATTCTATTCTCTATCTCTATAAATCTCAAATCCGTCCCTGTATGGAATACTGTTGCCACATCTGGGGCGGATCTTCTAATGATGCTCTTTCTCTTTTAGACAAGGTGCAAAAACGAATTGTAAACATAGCTGGACCTGCTCTGGCAGCCAATCTCCAACCTTTGTCACATCGTCGTAATGTTGCTTCTCTTTCTCTTTTCTACAAATACTATAATGGGCACTGCTCTAAAGAGCTAGCGTCCCTTGTGCCATCTACTAAAATTCATTCTCGTGTTACTCGCCATTCAATTAAGTCTCATCCTTTTTCTGTGACTGTTCCTAAGTGCTTCAAAAACTCTTATTCTTCTAGTTTTTTTCCTCGAACATCAGTTCTTTGGAATTCGCTTCCTTCATCTTGCTTTCCTGATTCATATAATTTGCAATCTTTTAAGTCATCAGTCAATCGTTATCTTGCTCTACAGAATTAGTCTTTTCTCTTCCAGTAACTTCCAACTCTTATAGTGGTTGCTTGCAGCCTTGTTGGAAGTGAAGATGTTAAAAAAAAAAAAAAAAAAATTGATATACTTTTATATTTGCCTAATATCTAATGTCCATGGTTTTCCACTTGTGTTGTTTGAACTGGTTTTTATAATGCTATTTTCTCATTTAAATACAATATTATAAAATTGTAGGAGAAATTATTTATAAACTGTCTTCTTGGTAATAACCAGCTGACTGAGTAATTTTTATTGTGCTCATTATACCCTTACTCAATTGAGGATTTTTATTTCAGAGTTTTTATTCTTATAAGTAAGCTAGGACTTAATTTCTTTTTATATGAAAGTTTGACTTTTTTTGATTTGGAAATAGGATCAGTTTATTGTTATGACCAAGAAATATGATAGTAACAGAAAATGGTTTCTATTTATGATTACCATTTTCGATAACTCCTTTGAGAAAAAATTGTTTTCAATAAAAAACTTTAAAAAAATCATATTGGAGAGAAAAAAATTATTTCAAATTAAATCTTAAATTTATAAATTGAATGAATTAAATGATTTGTAAGTAAATTGCTGATATTTTTATTTAAACAAATTAAAAATTTAAAGTTTTTATTTAAACTTTATTTTTGTTTTTTCATATTCATTAAATTTCTATATAAAACTATTACTCAACTAATTTCTATATAAAAGTATGTTTATAATTTCTATATAAAACTAAATTCTATATAAAACTGTCTAAAATCATTGCAATAAGAAAAACACCTAATTCAGCTTATAATCATCTTTTTTTTTTTTTGCCTAAAATTATACTACTAAATTAACTACTGGATATGTCGCAACTATTAAAAAATTTACAACACAATTAACTGCTATTTACCCAGCTTTTATCAAATAATTTTAAATTAACTGCTCATTACCTGACTTATATTAAATAATTTAAAACTAATTATTACCCAACTTTTATCAAATAATTTAAAATTAACTGATGGATACCTCAAAAAAATTACAAATATTATTTTCAATAAAAATGTTTTTAAACAATTAAATTATAATAAAATTTAAAATTAAAACATAACAAGAAGTACAATGTAAATACCTCGAATTGCTCTTTTTGTGATAATCCTTTAGTGTTTTTCCCTCCAGCTGTCTCCTTATTACCTTGCCCAATAAATGACATGACTTTAATTAAAGGCTCGTGTTTGCTTAACAACGCAGTTATTTCTTGTACACTATCACGATATTGAGAAAATATCATAACACGAGTATTTAAGGGTGTTTGTACACTTTTTGAACTGTTCGGACAAAAACGCCTAAAATGTTCTAAAACTATTTCTTCTAATTTCAAAAGTTTTGGATGACTGTTAAAGCTGCTTAATGGTTTTGGGATAGACTTTAAAAGTCTTTGCTTTGCTGAAATATTCTTTCCCAACATTATACTCTCATTTAAACTTTCTCCATCTTCAGGTTCAATTTCAGAATGCAACTCCTCCATCATATCCATAAAAGCAATATTCTGAGAAAGTTCTTTTCGACATAAAGGTGTACCTTTTACACCACTAAGAACACCTTTTAAAAAGTTATAAAAAGATAGCAGTCCATGCTGAAGCAAAAGCTCATAAGCATAGTATAAGGAGATACATAATCCAAAATCCCCTTCAATTACACCAGCTATTTGCTATAAAATATTTTGAAATGCAAAACCTGTATTTAAATACTTTGTATAACATCAAGCTTGGTCGGGAAGCTCAAACACAAATGCGCAATTAAGATTAACTGGACCGATAAGAGACAGTTAAAAAAAGAGAAATAGCTTTTAACGCGAAAAAAACTTTAAGCAAAATAAATACGATTAGAGCAAATATTTTTGAAACATCGCTCTTTAATAAATTTTTTATAAAATTAAGCAACATTATTTAAAGTATCAACTTACTATTAATGATTGTTTAATAAGGAAACAAATGTTCTTCGATTTATCAAAGAGTATATATAATTTTTATTTATATACTAATGTCTTATTTCCAGTGCTGGATTGAGGAAGTGGGGGGTAGAAGGGCTATTGCCACGGGACTCACAATGTTAGGGGCCGTAAAATAGTCAAGAGGACTTTTCAGTATTTTTTTTAGTCATTTTTTCGCTGTGACACATAAAAAAGGCCACCAAAATAATGCAGCCCCTGGCCCTGAAAAGTCCAACAAGATTCAACCAATAAAACTAACGCTAGATGATTTATTTATAATGATGATTTACATGATTTATATTTATAATTATATTTATATTTATAATGATAATTTATTTATAATGATATTTATAATGATGATTTATTTATAAATAAAAAAGTTTTTTCAATAACTGTTTTGTGTTTGGCACAAAACAGTGTTTGAAAGCACAAAATATCTTACTAAAAAAAATTGTTTCAACCTTTGAAACAATTTTTCTTAGTAAGATGAACAAATGAAATAAATAAATCATTGTTAAATTACGTTGTGAGGAGAAAGCAGAACTGCTTCACAATACCGCTAATGATGTTTAGCAAATGAGCTTTATAATTTTAATTAGTATTTAAAACAGAAAAATGTAACTTTAAGTTTAAGTATAACGAGTATGTAAGAATGGCTGAAGCAAAAATAATTGAAGTTAGTAAACCAATTTCTAAGAACTTAAAAACTTTTCTTTCTCGGGGGAAAGAATCAGTTATCGGGTATCAACCAATCGCACAAATTGCTTTAAAAGACTACATTTGATTAAAATACACATACAAAATATTACATACATAAAAAATTCATAAATAAAAATAAATAACACACATAAAAAATACATCCCTTATATATAAAAAATAAGAATATACTAATAAAATCTATAATATATTTACAAAACATTGACAAGTTAAAAAATTTTAATTTATAGCTTTGTAGATGTGGCTCCGAGAAAATAAATATAATATAAATAAATATCAAAATATATTATACGCCAAAAATATTTTCAAAAATCATGTAGAGTAAAACATGGTAAAATGAAATAGCGAGCAGAATGCAATAATTATGACAATGTTTGTTCTTTTGCTCTTATTTAATTATTGGATAATCTTTTTGCAAATATTTTTAAATTATGTTGTAGAGAACATGTGTCACATCACTTATCAGGTTGTACTTATTTGCATTGAAAGCAATATCTTGTTGAGTTACTTACCAGCTCATTTGTCACATGTTCTGCAGCCACTAGATGTTGGTGTTTATTGCTGCAAATTCATAGAGAGTCATAGCATCAAAATAATAGTTTGTTTAATCTAGAAATCTCAACGAAAACATAACAAAACTCAAATAATACAATTTTTAAAAATATTTCAACAGAATACTCTAGAACATTTGTTTAGTATTTTTTGAATACTCTAGAAATTTCGGTTAGTATTTTTTGAACCAATAGAATTAGTTGTTTATCGAGTGCAATCACACCCGCTTCCCGACCATGCCTGTAACATATGTAAAATATACAAATATATATTCAAAGTTTATATATGCTTTTTTAATCAATACTTACCCGATCAGATATTGCACTATTCTTTCGCCATTGTTCCCGAGCTTTTATTAATTGAAATC